AGCCATCCCTAATTTAGCAGCGTAAGACTAGAGGGAAGGCAGCTAGTCATCACCACCCACCGCCAACTCTTGGGCTACTCTCTTACCAACGAATAGTGGAATTGACTGTCACATTATAACGCCCCAACGGCTGAAAGTGCAAGCATGTTTGATGTGACAAGGATTTGAACCGTGACCCGCAGATTGCGAGTCGAGCACCCTAGCCACCTGGCCCTGAAGAAAAAGAATGATAAGTTGTATAATTTACCTTTGCATTGTGTTCAAACTAAGTGTGACATATTGATATCTGATGATGTACTTGAAACAGTACGATTTTTTAAATATGTTTTTCAAGGAACAAAACAAAAGAAAAGGAGGAAATATTGTGTTGATAATCTTGAAAAGTCTTTGTCTCAGCGAAGAGAACATTACTGCAAGAATAGAGATATGCGAAACAAGCCTTATCTATTAATTCAGCCAAAGACAAAGATGCCACCCTGGCGAGATGTAAGAAAAACTATAGCATATATATCAGCAAAAGCCAGAAAATATTGAGAGATAAATCTAAGAAAAGCAACGAGAAGGATTGGTTGCACCATGTCAAAAATCACCAAGTGTTATAATGTTATCCAGACCATTCCTACCTCGTTTCCTTACTTTTTGGTGCTTCCATTCCTACTTCTTAATATTTTTATTTAGATATTTTTTTATGCTTGCTTTTAGCTTTTTTTGGTACTAACTCTCGAGAGTAACTGGGCTCCAGACCCCAAAGTGGGTGTGGCCATCGTTCCGTCCATTCTTACTTCGTGTTTTACTTTGAACTTTGATCCAATTATACACTTGAATTGAGATTTATCAGTAAATAATCATTTCTAAATACTTAACAAATTAAAAAAATTCCAAAATCAGTAGTTTAATACTATTGTTTTGGTCCACCCCTTACCAGTCAGATAGCTATAATGTCTCCCATAAGCAAAGTATGACTATTGAAGCTTCCTGTCTCACTTCCGTCATCAAACACCTCTCACCCTTATGATGTCATGCATTTCGATAGGGTCACGTAATTTGATTACATACATGTATCTGTACTTGGTTGCAGTTTACAACAGAGAAATTTAGCTATATACACCTTTAATTTAATTTGAACAATTACTAAGTTACAAAAAGCACACGAAATAGGAATGGGCGGAACGATGGCCACACCTATTTAAAAAATGCACCGTGTCAAAAACCACCAAGTGTTGTAATGTTATTCCACCCTTTCCTTCCTTGTTCCCTTATTTTTTGGTGCTTCCATTCCTACTTCCTAATTTATTTTTTGCCCCCCCCCCCAGTGCCACAGCGGTATTTCCGCGGACTTACAAAGCTAGAAATCGGGTTTCGATGCCCCCTGGTGGGCATAGGACAGATAGCCCATTGTGTAGCTTTGTGCTTAACTTCAAGATCAAACAAACCTATGGACATCATCGTGTGAGCATCTTGTATTTTAATTCATTAGTATCGTAATGGTATTTAATTAATGAAATAGAGACACAAGTATCAGCACTCTGTCAATTTTCAAACTGAATTACCATTACTCATCACAAAGTAATCCCTTCAGTATCGTCGCTAAGCTAATGGTACGTTTGTCGACATAAAATGCTACAATTCGGGATTCGATTCCATACGATAGGCAGATAGCAGGTATGTAGTCCCTTGTGAAGCTTTGTGCTAAACACACGAACATTTAGTATCAAATGGTATAATTGTATATGATCTCCAAACTCCTGTACTCTTCTACAAAGAAGAAGCTAACATCAGGTAACCTTATTATACTTTCATGACAGCAGTACTTTTGACAGATTGGTTGTTAAACTGTCTTGATTTAAGAAAATGATTTGTGCCTTCAATATTGTCGAGACTATATTTTTAATGTTTTACTTTAGATGTTTGCTAGAAAGTGCATGACGTTAAAATCGAAAATTTCTAAAAGTAGTTCTAGATTACTAGAATGTTCTAGGTGACGTCACAAAAATCGAGTAATCTCGACAAATATCTAGAAGTGAGACATTAATTATAGATACTAGAATCAGTGAGGCATTTATTCAGTTGTTAGAGTGCCAGTCATTCTGTGAAGTATGTGAATCTGTGTTAGTATTGCGTATTTTCAGTTACTCGATTGATTAGCTGTGAAACTGTACAAGTAAGATATTTGTATGGTAGCCAAAAAAAACAAAACAAAAAAAAACGACTAATTAGACTCTAGAAAAGAAAATATAACAAATATATTTTTACTCAAACCTGACATTTTGGCTTTTCAAGGATTACAAATACAAACTGATAACCGAAAAGAATACATTCAACAATTAAATATTGATTTAACAATGGTAATGTCACGTGTTATCGCACGCATATTAAAATGTTTCTTGCAAATAGAGTTGGACAAAAGCAGTTCACTAAATCTTCAAAGGCTGAAAATGTCATTTGGACTCTGTCCTTTGTCGGCCCGGCATGGCCAGGTGGTTAGGGAGCTCGACTCGCAATCTGCGGGTCGCGGGTTCGAATCCCCGTACCACCAAACATACTCGCCCTTTCAGCTGTGGGGGCGTTATAATGTGACGGTCAATCCCACTATTCGTTGGTAAAAGAGTAGCCCAAGAGTTGGCGGTGGGTGGTGATGACTAGTTGCCTTCCCTCTAGTCTTACACTGCTAAATTAGGGACGGCTAGCGCAGATAGCCCTCGTGTAGCTTTGCGCGAAATTCAATCAAACAAACTATCCTTTGTCGTTGAACCCCTTACTGAGCGTCTACGCAAAGCTATAAAAAATTCTGGGCTAAATATCCGTATTGTACAAAACCAGAGGATTACAGTAAAAAATTATTTGTTCATTCGGCTTTCAATAAGAAAAACAATCGTAAAGCAAAAAAAAAGGATTTATTACAAACAATGGACTGGATGACTCTTGTACTGTTGAAAATGCAACGTATGAAATAACATGTACCCAGTGTGATGATAAATAAATACACTGGTGAAATGAGTCGTCCAATACATAAACGTTTTAAGTGCATCTAGATTTTAGAGAGACCACTGCCGAACACTTTCTAATGAAACATGGTTTAGTAGATAAAACACCATTTAACATTAAGCTTTTTGCTAAATGTAATGGTTTCCTTGATCATAAGTCCAAAGATTCTCCCCTGATTAATTCTTATAAATCTAAAATATACAGAAATCATTTCTTTGGCTTTTGTAATTATTATTATTATTTAGTCGTGTGTGTGTTCGATAGCTTGAGATTTTATGTTGCCTACTCACTCTAATTCTTTTTAACTTTCGGGCAATAATACATGACATTACCATTGTTAAGTCAGATTTTAAGTGTTGCATGTGTTCTTTTCAGTTATCAGTTTGTATATGACGCTGGAGGGTGGTTAGACGTCGTTTTTTTTGTTTTGTGTTTTTTAACAGCGCTCCACTCCTCTAGTCTGCTCTGCAAAGTTTTAAAACTGATACGTATTTGTGTTAGTTGTAATATCATTAGTGAGATAATTCTGCTGAAACGGCATTTGTAAATATAGGACTATAAATTACAACAGTGTACAAGTGAAGGCGACTTATAGAAACGTTAAAGTAGAAATAAACTAATTTGTA